AAGCTCAAGAATATTGTAAGGAAGAATATTGGAAGAACATTGGAGGCAAGCATCGCTACGTTGGAGCTCAGTCTTTAGGTTCCTTTGACTTGAGGACGCAGACATACTGCTGGTGGTTTTCTTGAGCAGATGAAAGGACTCTACCCAGCCACTCTATTCCTTCTTCTTCCCTTCAGTTACACCAGTAGTTTTAGGTAAAGGAGCATCTTTTCAATCTCCATCTTCGAGTCTTTAGGTAAACCCTTCACAGCAGCCATTTGTAGAGCGTTTTGGATGCTGTGGCTTAATTCCAGCCAAAGAAAAATGCGGAAGGCTGGTGTGGGTACTTGCTTGTCTGGCAGTCGAATTGAGCAGTCATCAGCTGTGCTCGCAAGAGGGGGAGAGAGCAGGCAGACCACAAAAAATACGACAGCAGCAGGTGAAATATTCATGCTTTGAGTGGCCGTGGTGGTTTTTTTTTTTTTTTTGCTTGTACTTCTAATTTAAAAATGGATCGTTGAGATGCGTTTGGGAGGTGTGGAAGTCATCACACATGTAAACAGAGTACAAGAAAAAGTATTTTCAGAGAAGATAAGTGCTTTTTTGCCCTTAAGACAGGCAGCTGATAATCTGGCCGTTTCCTCTGCTGTTCACCTTGGTGGAATATACATTAGCAGACTGGAAAAACAGATGCCAGGGATGCAAAAGAATATGAAAATTAAAGGTTTTGGTGAAGTGCTTGCAGCTGAAGAAAACTAAAATACTGGATTGCTGAATTCAATGCAAAAGTAGACCCCGAAAACAAGAGTGGCTGTTCTAGATGTGTCTACACCCAGCAGTGAAGCAGTTTAGGGGATATTCTTTTTTTTCCATATCTGCTGATGCTGATCAGTGAATGAGATGTTGCTGGAGACTCCTACAGAGCCAATATCCCTCGTTCCATTTTCTCTAGGTCATGTTGTCCGTGATGTCGTTGCTTTTTTAAACTGAAAGATATCAGTAGAGCATTTGATCCAGCTACTAATGACAGATGGTGTATTAACGAAGATTACATCCCTTATAAGCACTCAACTTCGTGTAAGCGTGAGGTATTGTTGAGTGACATGTTTAAAAAAAGAAAAAAGAGGGGAAAAAAAAAAAGGTGGGTTCTGCCTGAAGACTGCTAGGAGTGTTTTGTGGCCCTCCTGATGTTAGGCCCAGGGGGGCAATAAAATAACTGTGGGTTTGGTACGCGTTACGATACTCCTTGGATATATGGAGCAGCCTCAACATCTTAAGGGGTGAGCAATCTTTGGGGGAAACAGTGTGACTAGGTTTTTGGCACACAGATCAATTCTGGATCCCCTAAGTACCGAGTTCCCACATCTTAAATCTGATACTGATTCCTTACGTGGGTGTGGTTTTTTTTTTCCTTCTGAATTTTTTTTCAGATTTTCTGCCTAAACAGTGCACTTGCTCGTCTTGCTCTCAGGAGAACCAATTCCAGTCTTTACCTATTAAAAAAAAAAAACCAAACCAACACCCTTCTTGATGGTTGCAAGTTTCTGCCAAAAATTTGGGCAGAATTCTTGTTGCTGCTTCTGACAGCTGAAGTGGTTAACTTGTCTTGTCTGAAAGGAGGGCAGAGATAATGGGTGTGAAAATTGTATGGCATTTAGGCCTATGTTTTTTCCAAGCGTAGAGAGAAAACATTTATCACAGCAGTTTGTGAAGTCGTTCACACCTCAGAAATGATCACTTTTGGAAGTAAGTGGGGATGAACAGTTGCTTCTGGATGGTTTCAGAGTGGCTGTGCAGCTTGTGTATCCTTAAATGTTTAATTAGAGCTGAGCGATGATCTGCTAACGGGTTGATTCAGGGAGTGTTTCATTTAGGTAGAAGCATAGGAAGCTGGAGAAGTAAATTTTTACTAAGGAGCTGAATGAAAGAAAAAAAAAAAAGCCTAAGCAAAAAATATTTTCAAGGCTGACATAATCCTCTTTTTTGGTTGTGGTTTTTTTTTTTTTTTTCCTTCATATTGAGCATTCTCAGTAACATTGTCTGTTGTTCCCGAAGACTGTAGTGAGCTGTAAGCTGCCAAACTCATATATGCTTTGGAGGACTTAACCAAAAAGTCTGGTTTCTGTCTGTGGTCAAACAAGAATTTACACTTCTTGCCTGGATTCAGGTAGGAGGTGCTGGAGATGGAAGGCTGGTAGGCAAAGGAAGCGTTTTGTCCAGCTGCTGAAGGTGGCATCTCACCTGATGGCTCTTCAGGTGGCTCTGAAGCCACCTCCAGTGCATCATCTCTCCCACACCTTGGTCTGCAGCCTGCCTGCCCTCCTGCTGGCCGCTGGAGCCCGGCTGGGAGAGTGGCAGGGGTTGCCCACTGGTGTGACTGCGGTTTCGCTGTACTCGGTGTTTTTCAAGGTCTGGAAGTGCTCGTGGCAGCTGCTAGTGATCCACGGGCTGCAGTTAGGGGTTGTGTGTTTGAGGAGGAGTTGTGGAAAAAATGGCTTTCAGGCCTTCTGTGGAGAACAGCAGAGAAAACCCTGGCTGTGATTTAGCTGTACTTCAGAAATGTATTTTTTTCAGGTGGATTATCACGGGCAATTGATTTCGAAGGGGTTTGATTTTTTTTTTAATTTATTTTTTTTACAATTCCTTTTGAAATGTTTCACTTTTAAAAAGGAGTGTCTGTAGTTGTGAAGATAAATCTAGTGTAAAGGAATTGCTATAAAAGGGAGTAAGAGAATGCTTTTTGTGCATGAGTAAAGGACCGTATTTGTGCTTTTGTCCTTTCAGTTGTTCCAAAGACCGAATGCACTCGCTGTTCAGCAGCTAACGGCAGCGCAGCAGCAGCAGTACGCCTTGGCAGCTGCCCATCAGCCTCACATAGGTAAGTCTTGCATTTAATACGTTTACTGGACTTCTGTCAATCCTGAGAATACATTGGGAAAATACCAGGGAAAAAGGATTGGTAGGTTTTAGAGAATCCTAAATACGTTTTTGCAACGGTAATCGACGCACAAGCAGAAGTATATTGCTTGAAGATTGGCTTGAAAAATTCTGGAGGCATCTCTTGCACACTTTAAAAGCTCTAGAGCATTCGTGTCTGGCAGGAGTGACACTCTTACCCTTGCTGAGAGTGCTGTTCAGTAATGAGAGCGTTTTGAAGCACTTGCCTGCTTGGAGCGAGGCTTGAATTGGGGTAAGTGGCACAGTGAAGTGAGGGGAGAACGCAGAATTCGATACACACCTGAACGTGCTTCCTGTGGCTCAGCTGCCTGGGGTCTGACTTGAAGTCAAAGATGTAATTCGTGAAACACGTGATTCATATTATTAAAACAGCGTAGATTAGCTGGGAAGAAAGTGCTTAATGCTGTGCTTAGAAAACCAGGAGAACTGTAGAAGGGCTGCTCATGGGTGATCAGTATTAAACTATCGTAGGGTTAAACATTTGTAGCACAATAAACAATTTAAGTTCTTCCTACGTGAAAGCCCACTACAAATGTGTTGGGCCCCTCCAGCTCTGTGCAGTCCACTTGTGCGCTTACCGGAGTTCAGGGAGAGACCTGAACTAAAATTCTTCAGCTTTTTAACTTACTCCACCTTCACCTTCACCTCCCCTCCCCGCCCACCTGGGCGTTCTATAATGATTAACCTGTTCCCTTGCAGAGGACGGTGACGCCTGCGTGGCAGAGCTAGCGCCCTGCCATGTTGCCTGGGCACCCCGAGCTCCTTCCGAGCTCATTAATTGAAGTACTGGTGGTCTGTCGGGTAGATTGGTTCCTCGTCAACTTGCTGTAGCAAATACAGAGTAGTAACGAGCAATTAGATGATGTTAATGTCTAACTGGTGTTAATGGTCACCTAAACAGTAGGGATGTGTCTGTTCCGCAGAGACACCCGAGCAAGTATGGGTGTTGAATATAGACTATTTTCCCACTTCAGCTTTCCTTATGGGCCACCACATCCTTGGAATTGGGTTTCTTTAAGGTAAATTATATCCTCTGTAGATTGTTCTGTTAAGACTCCAGGAACTGCAGCCGTTGCTCGCTCCCTATAGAAAACAACCTGTAAAAAATTGAAACTACTAAAGCAACCTGAGCGTTTGTGTTCGCCAGCCAGGGAGCCAGAGGGACTTTGGTAGGGCTTCAGTTCTAGTTAAGTTTGTTTTTACTGACAGGTATGTTTTCAGCAGGTTTAGCTCCTGCTGCCTTTGTCCCCAACCCGTACATCATCAGCGCCGCGCCCCCGGGAACAGATCCGTACGCAGCCGGACTTGCAGCAGCTGCGACATTAGGTGAGATACTTCCAGTTGTCTGTGGATTTGTCACCGTTTTCTGTACCAAAACTGCTCTTGAGTCTGGGACTGTGGGAATTCAATATTTGTACGTTGTAATTTCTGTGGGGAGATAATTGTATATCAGTGAATTGAAACAGAATTTGTCTTGGAAAGCCTATTTTCTGTAGATTAAATGTGATAATTCTTGTATAACACTTGGTGTGGGCTCGCTCTCTGTTGAGGATAAACAACCAGAGCCAATCTGAAATGAAACACTTTGCAGACATAAGTGTTGCTACATGTTTGGGGTTTTTTGGTAACTGAGAGTAGTGAGATACCTTTGAAGAGCTACTTATTAAATGCTAGAAAGATGGAAGATATGCTTTCCTGCCAGGAAAGTTGTATCTCGTTGCTATTTAGCCCGATTTACTGTAGTGCATCCTGCAAATGATATCTTTCTTTCCCTTTTGCGAGAGTCTGTTACGAATTTCTGCTTTTTAGGTTCTCTAGGTAAAAACATCCCATATCTGCTGTGAGGTTTATGCTATGAATATGCAGTTTTCCAGATGGCAAGCAAAGATGGTGGCTCTTGTCTTTGTGCAAGATCTTTCTCCCAAACATTCATGTATTAGTTTCCAAATTCTTGCCAACTGTCATAGCCGAAATGGTTGTATCTTGAGCTGACAGCTCAGTAAAACAGCTTATCAGGCAGCGCGAAGAACACACTGTACGTTGAACTGCTGCTGCGTATGCCATAAAGTTCTTGCCTAAGCATTGAGGACAAAGGAAGATTGTACTTTCAGAAAAACATCTTTAACCGTGCTTTGCTTTCCGTCAGCCACTGGGAGAGGAAACCTCCCTTTTCAGTAAGAACTGCTTAGTTCAGAGTAGTGGTGATGGTTAGCGGAGCCTGCACGCTGTTGCCACACCCCACTTACCCCTCACTGTAGATCTCTTCCGCTGTGGGATCGCTGGTACCGAGTTGAACCCATAAAACGTTGGTTGTACGTGAATATAGCGCTCTGCCGAGCAGCCTTGTGGGTTGGTACGTGACTTTTCGGCATGTTCAACAGCTCTGACGTAAGCGCTGCTTAGCTTTTAAGCTCCGAGACCAGTATCAGGTCACGCTCTAAAATGGGATTTCAGCAACCGTTACCCAGTTGGATGGCGTTTTGAATGGATCGTGTGGAAGGATGTGAAGAATCAAGATTATGATTTGAAGATGAGCTTTGGACTTTTTGGCTGTTGCGCATTTTGTGTGCTGGTTGCGTAATAACGATGCAAGATTAAGTTCAGGCAACGACACGTTGTTGGCAAACAAATGACGCTGTGATTAAAGGGAAGAAAGCCAAGAGCTAGAGTACAAGGATACTTCCAACAGTCCAGGAGTCAACAAACTTGCCATGTGGTGGTGAATGTGCCAGCGAATGAATGACCTGAACTGTTGGTGGCAAATAAGTAGGAAGCTTCAGTCAGGACGTAGGGGGAAGAGGTGCAGAACACCAGCAGTTCCTGTTACAGGCAGAAGAGGTGCTTTGTAAGTGAGTACTATAAAAAGAGGATTCTGGTTGGCCTTCTTGCATCACCTCGGTGCTTCTAAAGCTAAATGCTCACTCTTCAGTAACGCACTGGAGTTCAGTGGAGCAGGAGGTCAGTGTCGTGATTTCATCGAAGGACCACGTGTGACTGCTGCCAGCTTTCTAGGAAATAGCAAGTCTGAACATCTGATCGGGGCCTTTTAAATTTGAACTAGGAAGTAACATACCCGAGGATACCTAAAGCATCCCAAAACTTGCCATCAGTCTCTCTACTTGAAGAATTTTTGAACTTGATCACTGTTGAAAGCAAAAAGAATGTGTAGTGTGCTGCTGCGTACTCATGGTGTTACAGCACCGAGAAAAACAAGTTACTTCATCCACCTCGCTGGGCTTTGCACCCTGACAGCGAGAAATGGCGGTATAACAAACTTCACTCTTTGTTGATGTTTGTTGTAGGAAAAGCACCTTTTCTGTCTAGACTCGAGCCGTTTTGAAAGCCTTTTCTCTGTCGTGGCTGAGCGCAGCACCGGAGGGCCGTGGGGCAATTCGGATGTTTCGTGTGAAGTCAGGCGGCCTCCTGGATGCGTATGCGAGTGTTGCGTTGGGAGGGCTTGGAGAAGTTTATGAGATGGAAGAAATGAGTTTAGAGTTGTTGGTAGTTTATTGCTCACGGTTACACTTAGAGTGGAGGGGAAACTTTTATGTGTTTTATGGCAGAGATTATTCTGTCAATTAAGATTCTGCTGTTACGGCAGCTTTTTCCATGATTGTAAGACTGTCAGCCCTGTGACAATACTCTTTTCTTCCCAACAATAATAGCAGTTAAAGAACAAATTTGAATGCAGAGGGAAGGGCTTCCTAGACTCAAGAAAAAAATCACTTGTGAGTTTAAATTGTGGGGAAGATACTTCTGTCTTGAAAAAGTGTTGTGAAATTGCCTTCTATGATTTGGGAAAGATGTCACTCGGGAGAAAAAGAAAAGAAATCTGGCCTTCTGTAAGACAAGTTGGGAAATGTTGATTCCCTCTGAGGTGGTGTGTTACAGGTAGAAAAGTGTTTCTGTTCTTTGTAGAGAAGTGGGTGCTGGAATGATCTGCAAACAAGAAAAATACAGTGCTCCTAGGCCGAAGGTAGAGTCAATTTGGATGGGTCTGCGCTGGGATTCTCCAGCTTGAGCTTCTTAGAAGCCTCAGTCACTTGGTGCTGAGCCAGCTCAGAGCTGGAGGCGGGTATGGATGCATGCACATACCGCCTAGGCCCACGGTTTGGGGGAGCACACGGGCAGCTGCCTCGGGCACGGTGGCGTGCAAGGGTGCCTCTCCTCTCCTGCATCCCTGCTGGCCCCGGCCCCTGGGGGGCTGCACCAGAGCCATCCGAGTTCAGCGGTTTCTCACCCCACCCCTAAAAAGACACAGCTTTGTGGGTATCTGTGGTTGCTGGACTGGTAGTTGTGAAGTGACCAGCTCAAAAATCGATAGTTTTGGATCAAGTTGCTACTGGCAGCCCGGCGTTTCCAGACGTGAGGTTCTCGAGGCTGTTCAACGGGGTGGTCGTGAAGTTTTCCTCCTTGGCAAAAGGGGGCTGGCTGTTCCTGCAGAGGGCGGGTGGGGCTTCTGCTTACAGGGGTTGGAGTGTGGAGCGTGAGATGAAAAGCAAAACTTTGGTTATGAACACACTTACGGATGGTTTTGCTAATGTTTCTTGAAAGGAATATTTGTGGGTGTCTGTGGCCAATGTGCGAGACCTAGTAGTGGGAATATTTGCCTTCAAAGGCAGTAGAACAGCTTTTATTTTCTCGTGTATGTGTAACTTTAATAAGTGTAAAAGCAGGTGCAATATCTCCTGAAGTAAGGAAACGCTCTGCGTGTTTTTGTGAGTCTGGCGATGATGACACACTTGCCCTCACTGAGAACACTGTTCAATAATGAGCCTCACCATGTGCTCAAATGAGCTGAGCCAGACTTGCAGCTCTTTTAAGCCCAGCTGCCTGCAGACTTCAAAGACTTTGTGTCTCCTCTTCTTTTAAACACCTAAGGCTTTTGCAGATCTGATGAGCAACCTCTAACTAGGAAAAAAACCCCATCTAGACTATGCTTGTTTGATAATTAGAACTGATATTAAAACAACCTAGAGAGATGCCCACATTTTGCTCAGATAAAGGGTGTTGCAGCAACTTCCCAGTAGCCTGAGGGCAAACACAGACTAATTACTTGCATAAAATGGAGCAGTTGCAACTATTTCCCCGTTGAGTGCAGAAGCACCGGAGCAGTTAGCATCTGATCTGCATTGACTGAATATAAACAGGTTCTAATCCACCCAGTAGCTACCTGTCTGTAACTACTTCGGTCAAGACAGGCAATACCATTGTGGGACTTGTTCATTTTCTGCAGGTTTTTTAATTTTAGCTACCACTGCGCGTGGATTTCCAGCACGGAAGGTAAGAAACAAGCGGTTGCTGCTCCAAGACAGATCTGAGTAGGACAGACAAGTCACCTTCTCTGACGGACGGTAGGCAGTAAGTCCAGCAAGGGCGGGTTTCATGGCAGAGCTTTAGGGTGAGAAACAAACCCGCCTGTTCAGCACGTGTTGCTGAAGGGCCTGGCGTTAGGTGATGGGCTGCTTGTAGCATCTCCCTGCTGCACGTAAAGCTGGGCAGGTGTGGTGGTGCCACTACAAAATCCTAAATGCAGGGAAAGTAGAGTGGTTGTATATAAATAATAAAGGAGAATAACGATTACACTTTTATATATATATAAATATATATATATTATTTAGAATATTTGGCATTAAATATGAAATGAATAACTTGGAAGTGTTGCTGAATCTCACCAGGCTGCAGCACAGGGGATTGCCTTCGCGTTACGTGGTGGTTCATTTGAGACCCCGCCTGTCACTGGATACAAAACAAAACCAAAAGAAGAAAGTTTTTCCTGGGTTTTTTCCCCTTTGTCATACCCGAGCTAACGCTTAGCAGTGTCTTTTGCGTCTCCCTTTTTACCACCATCCCTTCTTTTGGGGGAAAAGAGTTTTTAAGCCTCCTGGGGCAAAGGCTCATAGTCTTTGTGTGTTACACTTGTTCTCCGTGCAGCGTTGTACTGTAGGACAGAACTAACAGCACTTCTGAGATGGCGCGGTTAGAACTGAAATGCTAACGGTCTCTCTGAAAATAGAGACTATTTTTACTCCATCTAAGCACAAGCCTGTGGTTCAAATTCACTGAAGACTGGTTTATTCTCAAATACGGCTGTGGCACTCTGCCTTAAAAAGGCTGGCATGCCGTCAGTTACTCCTGCGGCGGGGAAGGAACCCGTGGGATAGGTGATGTATTTGAAGAGCAAAGGAAATACTTGTACTTTTCTGCTGACCTTTCCAAAAGGTACAGAACAGACATATTAAAAAATATTATTGGATTCACATACATGTGATTTGGTGGGAGGGACTCCTCGGTTGAGCGCAGAGTACTCGCTGCTTCCTCAGCGTGATGCCAGCTGGAATTATTTAATGGTATAAGGTGCCATTCTTGTGTGGCCAGATTAAGCGTGCGGTGTCCTGGGACTTGGTACAATATAGTGAATCTTCAAACGTTACGCTTTTCCTGGTGCTCTCCAAGGTTATTGGGTTTTTTTAAACCTCTTAAGTTTGAGGAGGAGGGAATGTGAAAAGATACAGGATCACGGAGCCTCTTTTATGGTGGTTTGCAAATGCAACGTAGGACTGAGTGGGACGTTTTAAATACTTGAGAATCAATGTTATCCAGCTGTGATGAGGTTTTCTTCATTTATGGGGGAGCTAAGTGGTAGGTGTTACTGAGCTGGGAATGTCAGCTGGCATGAGCAGAGACTTGTATATCTCTGTGCTTGAACAGGATTCCTTTTGGTGAGAAAGTTTTGTTCCTTCACTGTAATAATTAGGGCACAGCAATACAAGCATGGAATTTC